TTCGTGCGGTGCATACAGGGGGGCAAAGGCATTCCGCCTCAATTTCGCACGAGCTGGTCCCATGTGAATCAACTGGACTGATCTAAAAAATACTCCCCTCCCAAAGACCCATCTTATCCGTAAGGTGGGAAAAAGACACCCTCATTCATTCACACATCATCACAAATAGTGAGAACCTGAAGAGTTCGATCTTTATATTTGTGTCCCGGTGTATACATCTCGTCACATCTGAAATAGAGCCCCTCCACCCTCTTCTCCTATAATATCGTCTCCGTGAGCTTCTTGAAATTGTCCTCAAGTCTTCCTCCTGCAATCTTTTCCTACGAATTCCCCCCAAAGAGTATCCGGTGTTGGCTCCTTGGATATTAATAAGGTGGTGGTCATCCTGTACGGGCCTCCTGAGTTGTTGTCTCCTGTCTCTCTCTCCAGGTGTCCCTGATCCTCCACCAATTGAGCTAGCTTCACAGCCTCCCCCAAATCACGAAGCCTCATTACTGTAATTGTTGTCCAGATCTCTGGTGTCTATCTCTTCATGAAGTTCTCCTCCAGCACTGTCTCAAAAAGGCGATCCAATCGGCTAACAAGGTACTTGAACCTCTCCCGGTACTCTATTAATGAACTATCATGCATCAAGACGAAGAACTGCTCGTAGAAGTCTCCTCTCCTGCCAGTTCAAAAATGTTCTACTAAACAATCCTGGAACTCCCTCCAACTCCGTATAAGTCGTCGCATGTCCCTCCATTGGAACCAAGCCAAAATCTTCCCTTCCAAACATAGGCCCGCTGCTGTAAGTCTCTCCTCCTCTGTCAACCCATTGACGGCGAAATATCTTTCAACCTTGCAAATCCACCAGTGGGCATCCCCCCCCCCTCCCTCCTCAAAGATTGAAATCTTCAATTTCCTCACCACTCAGCGCTTTTGTTCCCTCCATAATTTATCATTCCTCAAGGGGGTGGTTCCCCCCAAGTGTCTCAATCATCCCTTCTACATTCATACCCATGCCTTTCATCAAATTCTCACATCCTATTTTCAGCACCCCTTGGATCATCACAAACTCCTCTTTCCAATTCAACCCTCCTTTTGTCAAAATTTCCCCTTTCCCTTTCAAATTCAGCAACCTTCCAATTATGTCCAACCCCTCATGCATCCCCACATACCCTCTATCCAACTCCTCCCTAAGAATAAGCCCTAGGGGAGGCATTTTTTCTATTCCTTCAGAAATCTCCATCTCTAGAGCTTTTTTTCGTCTGATTGGCTTAGAGTTTTCTCCGCTTCCCCAACTGTCGGTGACTTCCCTCACCTCTGACAGCATTTTTTTATTTTGGCCCTCAAGCACTTTCTTCAAAATCTCATCCAGGATGGAAAATTTCGAATTGAACTTATAATGGGTGACTGAAATATTTTTCTTTAAATATAAAACTTGAAATTGAAGATCTGAAATTTCAAATTTTGTTTGTCTGATCTCCCCTACCAATACTTCTACCTTTCTTTCCATCTGTCCATTTGTCTCCGCTGTCGCCGTTTGAATTTGACTCTCTAATATCTTCTTCACTATCTCATGAAGATCGAAAACTTTATCTTCCACAGATGAAATTCTATCTTCCACCATTGCTTTCATTTAGGCATTTAGCTCATCTCTCCTTCAAGACGTTCCTCCAACGCATCTACCTTCTTGGCAACCATCAATACCCAGATTTTTGTAGGTTTCAAAAAATCTGGATATTTACCTAAAAAATAACAAAAAACCCTTCAACAAAAAACAACCATTGAATTTCCCGAAAATAGCCCACAAATAGTCCCAAAATCTGCTCTGAAACCAATTTGATACGGAACACTTGAAGATCTCAAGAATTTCCAATCAATCTGAAAACAACAAAAGTTCTCCGCAAGAATCCACACAAAACCAGAAAAATAGTACATAATTTGTATTATTTGATGAAATAGAAATGGAAAATACCAATATAAAATTGATCCTCTATTCGAGAGTAGGATTTATCTCTCCCAAATCTCTAGACGCCGCTAGAGCCCAAAAACCTAAGGGATCTCAAATTTCAACCAAATTCAAGATATCTTAACCCTAGAAAAACAAATTATTTAATGCATACAATCCAAAAGGAAATCTCTAAACAATCCCTACATTAAAATTTCCCTCCTAAAATTTACCTAAAACCTTCCTAATCCACTCCTTTGAACTGGGCGGTTCGTGCAGTGCATTTAGGGGGACGGAGGCATTCTGCCTCTATTTCGAGCGAGACAATCCCATGTGGATCATTCTAATGGACCAGTCTAACATCCTCATTAGAGGGTCAAGCCATTGAGTAATGTTTTATCTAATATCCATTCTTCCTTCTTAAAAATGAATCCAAAATAACTATAATATATCACAGAGTCGAGTGAGCATTTTTAGTGCTAGTATGCATGCATTTTCAGTGCCCGCATGCATTGCAGTTGCTTGAATGCTCAGTGCAATTCTGTTTCAAAACGCATTGAGGCGCACGCCTCATGCTTGTGAAGTTGTGCTTTGAGGCGTACACCTCAATCTAGCTGAGGCAAGCCTTGAGGCCCGACTCACCTCACACATGTGAGGCGTACGCCTCATATATACCCTTTTTTAAATAAAAACTAGTTTTTAACACAATCCAAACACATGCACCTTTACATGGACCCGTCGCACCTAGGCGGTAGCTCCCATCCTCGACATCCAGTTGTAACTTCCCTAATGCCAACCCGCCGCTGCAACCACTAGTAATGGCCTAGGGACAGTCGTCGCCACAACCACCTTTTCTTTTTCTTATTACATAATATATTTAATGTTGTTTTGTTATTATGATGTTTGGAATTCAATTCTATTTCATGCAATTTATTATTTGCCACTTTACGTCTAGCACAATTTTTTTTCATATTTATGTCAGATTGTTATCTTATAGTTCAATAGAAAGTTAATATGTCACTCTTTAATATATTATTTTATTATTATATCAAAAAACTCATTATAACCTTCATTTTTATTTTACGCAATTTTTGAATTTTGAGATGTATGCCTCGCCTCGCGAATGAAAGACGCCTCCAGACCCAAATGCACAATTTAAAACCTTGCCTTCAGGTAAATTTTAACATAATCTTCACCAAATGATAAAACAATCTGACCACTGATATTGCGCACAACCTAAGACAAAGAGAAGTGTTGTGATGGGCACATCAAATCATGGAAGGTTTATCAGAGGCGTAGCTGACGATCTACGACCACGATTGAGTCGTTGTTTTTTTATTTATTTTATGTATTTTCTTATGTCGTTGTATTTGTTTTATTTAATTTCCCGTTTTACCCTTTTATTAAGGGATGTCGTATGTAAGCCCTGAGGGCATTTTCGTCTTTTCTACTTTGAGTCTTATGTACGAGGCTATTTATAGCCTCTTGTTTCTCTTTCGAAGGTAATAAATGATAAAGTAAAATTTTCGTTTCTATTGTTTTACTTCTCATGAGAGTTTGGAGTGAAATTCTTAGGAGAGGGAGAATTGCGTAACACCCACCAACCTAGGCGAGTCGGGTTCGTGGTTTTCTTCCCTATCTCTTTCTTTTCCCCTCAACCACCACCACCGGCCATCATCGCATCCAATCCCTTCTCCCTCCCCAAGCCATTTCCCCTTACTCGATCGAGCTCCACAAACACCCCAACTAGCCACCGGCCCCGTACCCGAATCCCATCCACCCTCCGACCCTAGCCCCCTTTCCTCTTTGATTTCCATTGCCTAATTTGGATTGGAATAATTGGGACAGATTTTGAATTCAAATTCAATCAATTTGTAATTCAAAATCTTTCTTAAATTACTAAATCTATTTTAGGAAAGTTTCTAAATTAACCCTATTTGAATTTCAAATTTAAATTGGAGTTAATTTAAATATTTCCTAATCCCTAAACCCCAAATAGGAAACCCCAATCCCTTTCCCCAATCTCCTCCCAAAATCTTGAAGAACAACTTGAGATCGTCGAGTGGAGGATTGCCACCGATCCTTGACAGAGGTTCTACTTTTCCCTTTTCTTGTATTTCTTAAGTCTAACTGATGTAGACAAAGGGGGGGTCAACACAAGTTGAGTTTTTCTTTTAATTTCTTGCCTTGTGTCTTTTCATCTTCCCCCTCTCTTTTGGGTTGTTTTCTAGTTCTATGAAGCCTTGGCTGATTTCGGGTTTGAGCTTAAGTAGTTGAAACTCTAGTGGTGCCAGCTCATTAATATCTAGTGGAGGAGTAGCTCATTATGAGCTGATGTTTAGCTCTAAATTCATTATGAGGTGTAAGATATTAGGTGAGTGGAACTTGTCTCTTCCTCTTCCTTTGCCTCTTGAGCTGCTGCATTATTTTTCCCTCTTTAGGCTGTTGGAACCGTGGCCTTCATGGTGCTTTAATGGTGGCTGTTGGTTTCTTGTGCTTGGCTGTTGGAACCGAAATTCCCTCCTTGGATTTGCTGTGCCGTTTGGGGTTTCACTGTGCTGGAACCGTGGCCACCTTTTGGAGATTTGAGGTGCCGGTTGGAATTTCTGAACCTGTGCTGGAACCGTGGCATTTTTCCTCTGTTTTCTGGAAAATTGCTGGCTGCTGCTTTGGAACTAATGTGTGCCTTTTGGCTTTTCCTATCCCTAAAGTTTATTGGGGGAATTATGGGTGCATTGGCTGTTGGGCTTTCTTCTTTGCTTATAAGTATGAAATGCTTTGGCATAAGATGTTATTGAAAAAGATGATGTGAGTTATTTTTGGAGAAAGACATACCTACATCTAAACCGGAACAATGGCTGCAGTTAGAGGCTACAAATTGTGCATGTCATACATGGCATGGAAAGGAAATATTTATAGGTGGTAAAGGACCTTTCAAGAACATGCGGTCTCATACACCTAAACCCCAATCACAACTCGAAATTTCTTCTAGAAGAAACTCCGATCACTTTTTCTCTAAGAAATACAAATTAATCACATTGTGCTGCAGGACTATAAAATCACAAACTACCTTGGAAAGAAGATAAAATGTCCATGTAAGCACTGCAGCAGATGTTTCATGTCCAGCTATTAGCATTGTCATCAAATCATCACGGAGCTGCTTGCTAGAAACCTATCATGCGCGTGTAAAGATTAACATTATAAATTCTTATTAATGTAAATCATAATGGGCTAAGAAATGTATAATTTGCGAAATCATACATCATCTCCCGATGCCAATAAAAAGTGTAGAATACTAGGATCCTTCTCGTTCATGTATTCCTCGTGAAATTGCAATTTCTCTTCATCGACCATCCTCTGCAAAAAACAAATACAGCAGTACTTCAATAATGCAAAGCAGCATACGGTAGAAGCTTACAAATTAGCAGATGCAATTTGATCTCATGAGAATATCTCTGCATTTATCAATCATGAAATTAGAAAAACAAATCCCACGCACTAAGATATAGGGTCAAACAATATGCACAATTTTGGATGTTAAAACTGCTGCAATGATAAAAGAAAATTGAATGTATACAAATAATATACATAGATTCTGATACTTTGTGGAAATGGCCCAATCGGGTTGCTTTCCCGGGTCTCACCGGTGTTGCCTGTAGGTCGTGATGAGCCTCGAGAGGGCCATCTCATGTCCCCTGATGGTGGGGAATCCGCTCACGGGGCTGCGTCTGACCCGTCCTCTAGGTACCTTTGGAAGGCAAGGAGTGTAACAGTGTAAACGCTTCCCCGGTCCTTCTCATCAGTTGCAAGGTTTGGTGGCCCTAAATTGACTTGGCTTCGCCAAAAGGCCTCATCTCCAATGCCTGGCTCGCAAGGCATCCCCTATGGCTGTAGGGAATTCTACTTATAATTTCACAAATCAAGTGGTAGAAAAATACTAGCTGGTATAACGTATTACTTTACGAGTCTTCGGGTGAACTAGATTAATGGTGCAAAGCACGGTACCGGGAGTAGGAAGGAAACAATTAATTCCCAGTCAGAGTTTAAATGATTAACAAGCAAAAATATGAAGAGGAAAAACCAAATGGAGCAAATACACAAACATGAATACAACAAAAATTTTGTGTGAATTGGTGAGATCTACCATCATTTACAGCTGGAGAAAATTCGAATAATTTAATAAGCTTCAAAAGAATATATGGAGAGATTACACTTCATATATAATTAAAGATAGAGATAGATATATCGCTTTGTTTATTCGGCTAACTCAGAGAATGCAACCACCTGCATTGAACATGAAAGCAGAACATAGAGAAGAAGATATTGTTGTTGCTATCATTACTCTCTTCCTTTCTCTAATGCAAGAGTTCAAATGGAGCTTCTTTAGTTATGGTTGAAGGTTTCCTCTCCTCTTCCCTCACTCTTATCTTTATTTGCTTGTAAGTTTGGGATGTCAAGCCCATTCCCCAAAAGGCTATTTTATAATGTTAAAAAAGAAATCCGGAATAAATTACAAATTGTGTCTTAAGGTTAATAATATAATATATTTGGGATATTTACATCAATACAAGATATAATTTCTGGTTTTCTATCTTTCTCTTTATGTCTTCTATTTCTCTGGAAGTTTACACCTACACGAAAGATGTCAAAGCTTCTTGATGATCAACACTAGAGATTTTGATCCCTTCAAAGATAGGTGAAACTTTATTTAATAAAGGCAATCTTCTCTTCACATCTTCTAAAAGCCTAAGTATTAGGCATCAAATGTGTTGGCCTTGATCAATTCATCATCCATTACTTATATTTATATGAAGTTAACAAAAGCTTTGACATCAACTCTTAAGATAATAATATTGAGCAAAAACACAAAAAAGAGAAACCACTGCAACAAATACATAAATAAATTTTATGTGATTCAATGAAATATTCTTACACCCGTAATTGTATACAACAACAACATCAAGCCTTTGTCCCACTACGTGAGGTCGGCTATATGAATTCTTTTTCGCCATTGTGTCCAGTTAAAAGTCAAATTCTCATTTAAATTTAATAAAGAAATATCATTTCTAATATTTTTAACCAAGTCTTATAAGGTCTACCTCTACCTTTCTTAACATAAGTCAAATCTGATACCTCAACTTTCCTAATTGGGTCATCGGAAGGCCTCCGTTTAATGTGACCAAACCATCTAAGACGACTCTCTCTAATCTTATCTTCCACTGGAGCTACTTATCATCAGGTCCAACAGCTTTTCCACCCTTCATTTTCTTTAAAGCCTCTCTAACTTCAATTTTACTAATACGCCGATAAAAACATAAATCTTTATTTTCATTTAGGGTGCTAAGGTCACTATAGTCAATCTTATTTTTACAATCTTCATTAAAAAGTTTAGCAAAATATCTCATCCATCTATGTTGAATATCATCTTCTAAGAAAAGTATTTTTCTTTGTTAAATGATGCTTTGAAGATTAAAGAAAATAAAAAATATCTTTAGAAGAAAAATGTCAGTAAACATTTTGATGCGGACATCCAACCGTCCATGGCTATCCGAGGAGCTGAAGATCAACGGATGTCATCGTCCCACGTTATCTTATATTTTATTTGTAATTTTAAATTTTTTTATTATGAATTTTCTGTTTTTACCCTCACTTAAGAGGGTCGTCCTATGTAAGCCTTAGGGGCATATGTGTCTTGTTTTAGTTTCTTAGGCCTATATATAGAGGCCCTTTCTTATGTAATGGATGATGAATGATGAATGAAAATTTCTACTTTTGATCTCTTTGTGAGTTCATATTTTCTTGATCTCTTGGTGAGTTCAATTCTCCTAGATCTCTGTGTGAGTTCTATGGAAAGCCCAAGGTGAGGGCAAAAGCAATACCCGCCAATCTTTGGAAGAGTCCAAGGTTCGCGGTTCTTACGATCTCTTTGTGAGTTCGTTAGTTATCTTCTATTTTTACTTGTATTTTTGTTGTTAATCTCCTTCCTCCCCTCTTCATCCACCCAAGTATTCCCCCTGGCTCCACCTCCTCAACCCACGTCCGACACTCCACCCGACCCCTCATACCGCCGGCCCAAGCTCTAGCCACCGACCACCATCCACCTCCTTCTCCCCAACCGAGAACCCCACCTTTGCTCCAATTATTAATTGCCTTTCCTAAATTGGAAAGATTAAGTTAACGAAGGATTTGAATTCAAAATTCAAATTTGAATTCAAATTTATTTATTGCTTAATTCATTCTTAATAATTAGGCATTTAATGATGTCATTAGTTCTGAAATAAAATCTCAAAATTTTGAATTCAAAAATCCCGCCGGCCTCCCTTAATCCTTCCCTTGTAATCAATTAGTTTCCAATTAGGGAAGAGCTCTTCATTTATGCAAATTTGAATTCCAAAATTTGAATTCGAATTAGCATTATTCACACCATTAATCTCTCCCACCATTTAAGCCAATCGTCATTAATTCTCAAATCTGAATTTAAATTCAGATTTAAGACATTAATTCCCTCCTCTCTCCCCTTGGATGCCGCCGGCCCCACCTTGCCCCGTTGGCTGGATTTAATAAAATACTTCCTAATCTCCCCTATTGGCTTTAGGAAATATTTTTAAATCTCCCCAATTCTGCTTAGCCGAATTTCCCTCCCTCATATTTCTAAAATTAATTTCCTAATCTAGGAAATTGATTTTAGGAAATCAATTCCCTGAATTTCCCTTTTTCTCACCCGCCCCTTCTTCTCTCTACCAAATCCCTTCCTTCTCTTTTATTCCTCACACAAATTCTGCCCTTATTTCTTCCCCCCGTCTCCTTTATCTCCTAAATTTCCCATCCGAGTTTTAGGAAATAATCCAAACTCCCTCAAATCCCTCTTACCCGAATTTTTCCTTTGCCATAGACAGCTAATTAATTTCCTACATCCAGGGAATTTATTTTTGGATTTCCAATTCCCCTCTCCAGGGTCAGAAACTATCAAAAAAGACTATTAACAGGAAGAAATCAGCAACAAAACGCTACAGAATATTCATAAGTGTTCATATAATAATGTGTATAACAGCAACTCTGCAAGTAGTTCAGTATTTATAGCATCAAGTCTACCTTGGGCCCAAATGTGAGGCGAAAGATACCGCCATAAGTAAGGTAAAGCTCGTAAAGAGGTATGAAAAAGGCCTGCCCTCCAACAGCTCTGAATGACCCCTTCGCCTGAGGAATCGCCATGCGCTCACCATCCTCAACGATGTCGCCCAATTTAACTAACAGCTCACCTAAGAACTTTCCAGCCGGCCCAATCTTGGAAAGCCCATTCCCCAGCATCGAGACAAAACTTTTTTGTTTCCCATTTCAACGAGAAAACTCAAAACCACTAATTCCAACATTGAATTAATAAAAACTGGAGGGAAAGGAACAGAACAAGAACAAACCCAGATTTTTGGACGGTGAACTCCCCGGAGGCGATACGTGCAGCAAGATCGGACCGCCGCTTCTCCTCCAGGATTTGCTCCACCTCCTTGACGGCCAAGTCCTCAGTCTCCCTTCCTTCTGGCCTACCGTTGGAGGATGAAGTTGAGAAGCAGCGAATCGAACAGCCAGCCGCAGGCGCAATAATTCCAGATTTCCAAAAGGAAGAACATGATAGCGAAGAAGTCCTTCCAGGTCTAGGACATTGAAGAGCTGAGGAGGATGAGGTGCAGGAGAGCAAATTGGCCGCGGCAGCGGCCATAGCCTACCCTGCGTGCTTTGCTCTCACCGTCTCTCTGTCTCTCCCCCCACTGGCTCAGTTTAGCATGGGTTTATCAAGAGGAAGAACGAGAGCATCTCCTTCTTAAAAAAATTTCCAAATATATTTAGCTTTGAAAGAGATGGTGACCTCATACATTTTTATCTTTGGGAAGAAAAATCAAATAAATATTTTTTTCTCATGTCTTAATAAGGATCACGCATTCTTAAAAAATCTTAGAAGCGCAAATTTACGATTAAATTTAATCAAAATCTTCTAAGATCTAATTTATTAATTTCTGCGTTTATAGTATATATAGCAATTTTCTACCTGCCGTTAATGCTAATTTAAACTTATTCATAACTAATAAGAAATAAAATAATTTTTCGTTTGCTCCGTACCAATTTTTAAACAAATTTTGTCGGTACTAATTATTAAAATTAATATTTAATTTTAAATTGCGTATTAAATTACTTTTTTTTATTCAAGTTTTATTAAAATTATTAAGATATTTATACTCATGAAACTATAGTCTGATGTTTGAACATAGATTGTTTGAGGTTTTGTTTGTGACGTTTTTCTTACTGCTTTTTAAAGCAGCATTTTAGTACAAGAATTTAAATTTTGTATTAGAAAAATATTTAAGAAGTAGTAAGAAAGATGTCCCAAATAAAACCTAGATTTTCATGTGTCATATAAAAATCGAATTAAATAGGTTCAAATCTTAAAACATATAAGAGTTGAAAATTTTTGTAATCAAATTCTAGATCATTTGAACTCCATTTTAACAAAGTTACGCTTAAATTGAGTGTCTTAACGAGATAAATCCGTGAACATGAACATACGATGATTCAATTAAAGACCAATGAGCCCTAATCAAGCATTTAAAATATAATTAATAATTTTGTGACATTGATCGAATGACCAAAGGTTCTCTAAATCAAGCATACTTGTGGTCGGATTGAGAGACTCAACAAGACAAAATCAACTAATCTGATATTGCTTAAATAATAACTTGGGATGTGTGCCCAATGTGTGCTCAAATTTGGGCTTAAATGAACTTTTTATTATACTTGGGCTTAATGGAATCACTTTTATGATCTTTATTTTTTTAAGTCACTAATAGTATTTTTTGTATATAGTTTATTCTAAAGATAAGCATTAAAGTATTCGAGCGCCTCTCACCTCCCCCATTTCGACCATGACTTGCTCATGAAGGAAAGGGAGAAGGGAAAGGAAGTGGAGAGAGAGAGAGAGAGAGAGAGAGAGAGAGAGTTGGGTTTTTGTCATTTTTCTGTTGCTTATGCTAAAAAAATGCTCTAATCATTGTAAATAATTATCATTTTTTTTTTCGATGATTTTGATTTCTATAGATTGTAAAACCCCTATTGGATAAATTAAGTCGTGTTGTGGAGTATAGATTGTACATTTGTGAACATTTGATTTTTGTATTATTTTTTTTTTCTTTTTCAATAGTGAATATAAGATGATATTTATATCACTTAATGCATATTAAATTTTGCAACTGGTGTTTTCCCTTTTTGGGTTTTTAACATTGTTGCGTCCTGGAACATTCGTGGCGATATAGAAATATAAAGTTTAACATCTTAGCTTTGTACGAAGATCAAACATACATACAAATAAGAGAGAGTGTGTGAATTATTCATAAGAGACAAAGATTTTTACATAAAAAGCCCTAAAGATAGGGAAAATCACGAGGCCAGTGCCAGTTTGAATGAATCAACTATTATTTGCAGTATATTACAAATAACGCCCTTCATTTGGGGAAGGCCTTGGCTTGATGTAATAAATATACATCATATAACATGCATTACATGATGGGACTTAAAAGAATCACAATTGATATGTTTGTTTGGTCGGTAGAACCATAGTCGACAGGCGACGGAGATTGAAAGACCATTTTATGATGACGGAGGTCAGAAGGACCGTAGTTGGCGGGCGACGGACATTGGAAGGACCATTGTCTGGCGACAGAGGTCAGAAGGATAGTTTTCTGACCACGACAGCTGGAAGGATTGTTGACTAGCAGAAATCCGGTGTCGGGTAGAAATCTAGCAACAAGCAGAAGTTCAGCCTCGGGTAGAAGTCTAATGAAAAGTCCTGCATGTGACATGAAGAAGTCCGACGTCGGGCGTAAAATTGACGATGGGTGGAAGTCCGACGATGAGCGGAAGTTCAGCGCCAAGTAGAAGTCCGGTGGTAAACAAAAGTCTGGTGATAAGTGAAAGTCTAACATCGAGTAGAAATCCAGTGATGGGCGAAAGTCCGACGTTGAGTGAAAGTTCTGCATCGGGTGAAAGCACACAAATAGTTGGAAGTCGGGTAGAAGTGTGACGTTAATTGGTGGATGGACAGGTAGAATTCCGGCATCACTTGGTGACTGGGAAGAATTCTAGCGTCAGTTGGTGACTGGGCAGAAGTCCGACGTCAATTGGTTTCTAGGTAGAAGTCCGGCGTTGATCGAGGAGGAGTTTGGCGGCAAGAGAAGTCAAGTTTTTCTTCTTCCTTCTCTTCCTTGCTTGGTCCCTTCTTCCTCCCCGGTCCACCCTCATAGACATTTATAGTTCTATGAGAGTGGAATGCCTAGTAAATAAAAGGAATATTAAGGGTAATTTTGGATTGTTTTAAATGGACAATGATGTTGAATCCCTTGAATATGGACCATTCGTTGGGCCTTTGAATGTCTTAATGTTATAAGAATTCAACGATCTTGAGCTCATTGGATTCATCTCATTGAACTGCTCGATTCGACTATAAGCATTTTACATTTGGAAACCTGTTAGTAATCAAAATTATGGTTTAAACCTTTCAAATATGCTTTAAGTATTCGATTTGAACCTATTTGAGCTTACATTGAGTTGAATTTGGTGTCGTTGGGTTCGTATTTCCAAAACATTTAGTTCGATTGTAAGGTTGCTAAAATCAAAGTTTATATGATTTTGAATTTAATTTTGTAAGTTTCTAATTCGATCTTGCTTCAAAATTCATGCCCGATCATGATAATTTTTGATAATATATCTATCGCCACCTATTTTTGAACGTTGAAGCTCTAGAAGTCTGAAAATTTATATCATATCTTTTTGGTCAATTTTTATGCTATTTGACACTCCAAAATATTTAAAAAGTGCTTGAATTTTTTTATGAAGGCTTCGTTGAGCTCCGAAAGTGTCAAAATTAAGTCCGGAATGTCAAAAAAGGTTTCGGGAATCCCAAAAATGTCTGATTTGGCCTCTCCTGGGTGAAAATTGGGCCCGAGCACAAATAGGTCGCCGAATCAACTAACCGCTCGCCGGCGGAGCGGCCTACACGTCAGCGGGCCAAAGGGGCGTGCTCCTCTTAGGCGCTCGGTATTAAGAGCAGCCTGCTTAAACCGACTGTAGTTTTTTTTTATGTAGGGCCCACATTACAAAAAAAAAAAAATCTAACACATTTAGTGCGAACTCGAGCCGCCCGTCTCTGTTTTTTTTTTTTTAATTCAAAGAAAAATTCATATTTGAGCCCCAACAAATCGAAGAGGCTTTTATAAGCATTTAAAAAAAATAAATGCTTTTGGGAGGTAAATTTCCTCCCTATTTTTAAACGATTTTCCCTCTTTTAATTCTATAAATAGCCCCATGGGGCAAGGAAAAATTTACACATTCTCCTCTTCTTCCCTCTCCTTCTAACTTTCTTAGAGTTGAGATTTTCTACTGATTTTTGTAGGTGGCATCCCCTACTAAAATTTAGTGCTTATCTCTTGCGTATAAGTTAAAATTTTCTTCTTATTTTTTTTTTCTTCTCCTATAGTACTTTTCTTACATTAGAGAAATTTCACTGTTTGATATAAGTGACATCCTCTATCAAACTTTAGTGCCCCTCTTTTGTATAAAAGGAGAGTTTTTCCTCCTTATTTTTTATTCACCTCTAGTATTCTTCTTACATCAGAGGCATTCCACTGTTTGAGATAGATGAAATACCATATCAAACTTTAGTGCCCCTCTTTTATATAGAATGAGATGTTTTCCGCCGTACTTTTTCTTCTCCTATGGTCTTCTTCTTAAATTAGAGGCATTACACTGTTTGAAAATATGTAGTGTCTCCTATCAAATTTTAGTGCCCCTCTTTTGTATAGAAGGATATTTTTTCTTTCTTTTCCTTTTCTTCTTCTTACATTAGAGATATTCCATTGTTTGAGATATGTGGCATCCCCTATCAAATTTTAATGTCCCTCTTTTGTGTAAAATGAAATTTTTTTCTTCCTTATTTTTTTATCATCTAGTCTTCTTCTTATATTAGTGGTATTTCACTATTTTAGAAAGGAGGCATCCCATATGAAATTTAAATGCCCATCTTTTATGTAGAAGAAGTCACATGAGAACTTACTCTTTCAATAGACCTGGAGGAGAGTTGGAAATTATGAGAAGATAGGTAAAATTTTGACGATTATAGAGCAAAAATTCGACGACGATCGACAACCATGTTGAAGTTCGTTGTAGATCAATGGTTGGGAGGAAATATGGTAGCGATTGACAATCGATCGAATATCTGAAGGAGATAGTTGGAGAGCATGCTGCTAATAATAGTCAAGCGAGAAGTTGATAATGGATGATATAAAGTAAAGGATCGACGATGTACATCAGGAGAAGGGATGATGATGGTAGTGATCCAATTACATTTTGCTAAAGAAATATTTATCCATACTACATGTGCCAATATCAGATATCCCTGATTGAAGGGGTTAAAGTAGTGTGCTATGTTAGTAGCTTGGTGACACATTAATAACGTCAATTGAGTGGAGGCATGATGATGATCATGTTATAATCTTTATTTGAAAAATAATTTGTAGGAGATACACAAGAGTGCAATAGAGAAGGGGGTTAATAGAATCCACCAAGGATATTTGATCTATATTTGAAGTTGTTTGTTACTTAATGACATTAACTTGTATATATGATATTGATGTACTTTTAATTCCAGCTTCTAGTGAAAATGAATATATACTTGAACCTGATGTGGAATTTATGTAACTCCAATAATATTGCATATAAAATTGATATTATTATATGAGCTCGGTGCATATTTTTCATTTGAAATGAACTTATCCGCAGTGGAAGCTAAATTATTTACGTATCTTTGAGACATGCTTTGATATATTATACCATATGCCTATTTTAGGCTTTTTAGCGTGCTAAAATCTTTATATAAGTGATGTCTTTAACAACCACTTGCTTTTATGGAATGATTCTAAAGAGAATATTGCCCACTCAAAGCATTTCATGATAACATTGACCTATGTGGAAGATATCCAAAGAATACATCAAATATGTATGACATATTAGAGGTTGTATGTCAAAACGCTACTCGATGACATTAACATATATGGAAAAGATCAAGAGAATCCACTAATAATGTATAACCTCTCTGAGGTTAAATGTTATAGCACTGCTCGATGACATTAACATATACAGATGAGGATGAGACAAAATTCATCAAGGATTTATGGCCTATCCGATGTTGTGTGTTAGAGCATTGCTCAATGACATTAATATATATGAAAGATATCAAGAGAGAATCCACCAAGAATGTATGATTGTATGACCTATTCGAGATTATATGTCAGAGCACTACTCGATGATATTAACCTGTGTGGAAGAGGTCGAGAGAATCCGCCCGAAATTTATGACTTATCCGAAGTTGTATGTCATATTGCTAGATGACATTAACCTGTGTTGAAGAGGTCGAGAAAATCTACTAAGGATGTATGACATATTCGAGGTTATATGTGTCACGACCCGACGCGACGGGGACGGATCCCGCCCGAGCCGGATCGCGACGAGAGACCTTTCTTAACCAGGATCTGGCTTTGGATTAGGTTACTGAACTGATCTTTCAAATTCTTAACTCAACAGAAGCACACAGAACAACAGAGCTACTAAAAACATCAAATGCAGCGGAACAAAACATCTATCTTTTCATTTCCTCAAAATAATCATCTACAGAACAGTACATGGCTTTCAACAGAAAGAAAGACAGAACAGAAAAGCCATGACTGTACAAAAATCAAAAGTACAAAAGTACCTAATCGAAATCAGAATCGTACGGATCATATCATATCATAATCACAATTTCGTACAGAACAGAACAGATACAGAAAATAGTACAGATACAGATAGCTAAATGCCCTGACACTGACGGAATCTCTATGGATTCCGGCCCCTTATGCCTCCCTTCCCAGACACTGACTGAATCTCATAGGATCCAGGCCCCTTATGTCTCCCTTTGTGCTCACGGCACCAAAACAGATGTGCTTATAGCACCAAAACAGAATTCATCGGATCCGGAACAGAACAGACATCAGATTTGATCTCATTGCAGATTTCCCGTTTCACTAACTGAATCTCATAGGATTCAGGCCCCTTATAACTCCCTTTGTATAGCTTATACACATAGCATTTCAATTCAGAAGAAATACGGACAATTCAGAAATTACCCAAAAAAAAATCGGGCAGCACAACGGCAGTATACGGAATTTACACAAAAATTCCTGCAAAGAAAATTTACCGAATTCGCACAGAATACAGATATCAACATTTCAGAACATTTATTCTACTGCACAGATAAATTCCAATTTCACAGAAAAATCTGGTCGACTAAAAACACAGTCGAATCAAAAATACCCGGACGAAAATCTTCAAAATATAGTCAAAACGTGCACACCCGGCACGGCAACGATATCCAAAAAGTTACGCGGTAAAAACTGAGTCAATCAACAGATACAGACAAAAATCATTAACGAAAACGAAATCCGGATAGAATATACCGCCAAACACGACGGTTCTGAAAATTGAGAAAGGCGGAATGTGCCTTACCTCGAGCACAGCAATTTCCTCAACAGCCACTTCGGACGAAAACGGCTCCGCGTCGTCCGAAAATCCACTTTTCCACTTTTTCCTTCGTTTTTCTCTCTCCTCAGCTTTTTCTCTCTCTTCAAAATATCTCATTTCTATATATATCCAGACTGATCGTCCTGGACGATCGAGCTTCGTACCGGACGATCCATGAAGAGAGGAATTCCGTCCAGACGAAAAATGACATATCGTCCCTGGCGAAGGGTTCACGGGAGAATTTTCGTCCAGACGATCCTGATTTCGTCCAGACGAACCATACAGCCAAAACTGATTTTCTGCACAACCTGTACCGATCGTCCCGGACGATCCAACTTCGTCCCGGACGAACCTGGAGCAAAAACTGATATTACAATCTCCCCAACTTAAAAAAAAATGTCGTCCTCGACATTATCCAATCCAACCTCCGTCAAAACAAGTACGGGTACGACCGTCTCATATCAGACTCCTTCTCCCAAGTTGCTTCCCGTGCAGTCCGGTGCTTCCACTGGACTTTAACCATCGGAATCTCTTTATTTCTTAACTTTCGGACGTCGTACGCCAAAATAAGCTCTGGCTCTTCCTTGTACGCCAGATTCTCCTGAATCTCCACCTCATCAGCTGACAACTTCTTCCCAGAGTCTGAAACCCACTTCCTCAGAGTGGATACGTGAAACACATTATGCACGTCAGGCATAGAATCAGAAAGCAATAGGCGATAAGCAGATTTTCCAATTCTTTCCAAAATCTCAAATGGTCCAACATACCTTGGACTAAGCTTACTCACCTGACCAAATCTGCTCACACCTTTCATCGGGCTGACTTTGACATACACAAAGTCACCGACCTGAAACTCAACAAATCTGTGCTTCTGATTGTAATACTTCTGCTGACGATCTTGAGCGGCTTTCAATCTTTCTCTTATCAAATTGATCTTCTGAGCAGTTTCATCAGCAAAAGTGGCCCCCAAAGCCTGTCTATCTCCGACCTCCGTCAGAGTCAAAGGAGTACGACACTTCCTGCCATACAAAGCCTCGTACGGTGCCATACCGATACTGGACTGAAAACTGTTGTTATAGGCAAACTCAATCAGCGGAATATGATCCTCCCAACTTCCGCTAAAGTCCAGAACACAAAGCCTCAACAGATCTTCCAGTACCTGAATCGTCCTCTCAGACTGTCCGTCGGTCTGAGGATGAAAGGCTGTACTGAAATGCAGTTTCGTACCCAAGCCTTGCTGAATGCCTTTCCAAAGTCTGGAAGTAAAGCGTCCATCTCGATCAGATACGATCACACGAGGCACACCGTGCAATCTGACTATTTCCTTCACATAAATCTGTGCCAAGCGATCAACTGAATCCGTCTGTCTGATCGGAAGAAAATGGGCTGACTTCGTCAATCGATCTACAACCACCCAAATGGCATCATGTCCTTGTCGTGATCGAGGAAAACCCATCGCAAAATCCATCGTTACCTCCTCCCATTTCCACTCAGGGATAGGCAACGACTGCAACAGTCCACCTGGTCGCTGATGCTCTGCCTTCACCAACTGACAGGCTTCGCATCTCGACACAAACTCTGCCACATCCTTCTTCATCCCAGGCCACCAAAACAAAAGCTTCATATCAGCGTACATCTTACCACTGCCTGGATGAACAGTATAGCCAGAATGATGAGATTCGTACAGAATCTCCTGCCTCAAGTCTCCAAACACAGGTACCCACAACCTGTTCTTACAGAAAATAACACCAGAATCAGAAATTCGAAGTTCAGGAGTCTTACCAGATCCAATCTGAGCAATCAACTTCGAATAATCAGAATCTGACTTCTGGGCTTCTTGAATCCGTGCTTCCAAAGAAGACTGAATACTCATCTGAGCCAACTCCAAATCATATTAAATTCAGCAAATGTTTTTCATAATTGAACCTAATTAATATTTATTAATTAAGACTTAGTAATTTACTAATCATATTTGAGTTAAATATATAGAATGAGCCCTTTAATGATAAAGGCGTTATTTTCATCGTACATGAAATGTCATTATATATGGCTAAAACATATTTTAGATTTAACTATTATTTAAAAAATATTCAAAGTTACTTATATATATATACATTTATAAATTAAAAAAATACATACTATAAAAATGAGTATTTAGTGCAACGATTACTTCACAAAAAATCAATATATTTATAACCTGATTAGCCTTTCATGCAAGAAGAGTGCGTTCTGTATTAGCCGCCATTTATATCTGTTCATCGCCCTAAGTGTACATTTCCCGGAGAGCTTCTCGAGTTTCGCCACGGGTGATCCAATCGACATTCGACACCAACGGCCCTAGGGTTTTGCAGGAGAGGAAAACGGCTCGAAGTCATCGTAAATTTGTTGTTTTCTCCTCACAACTGCTCTTTGCCAATGGCGCAGCCGATGGATGTTCTCCGAGCAGCCGCTGAGGTGGTATCGACTGCTTCTACTAAGCAGCGGATTCACATATTTCGCGAGAAACTGCTGCCACTACTGGAGATCAAAGGTGTCGTGATTTCCTTATACTCATCCTCGAGCTTTTGGATTTGTCAAAATGTTGAATGGTGGTTGGCTTGATTCAGTTAAACAGCTTTTAGCGTGGTCTGCACAAGTTGATTCTTTGGCCTTCTTTTTAGTTCTATGAGTTGATATTTTTGTTCAAAGGGGTGCAAATTTGTGGCATTATTTCACTTTTGTTAGGGTAGCGGGATTATAGCTTTTATTGCGGCGTTTCAATTTTTGAGAAGTGTAGTTCACTATGCATCTACATACACATGAAGCAGATCTATGATGTTATTATGTGCTTGCAGGGAACCCAGGATATAAAATCTTAGAAAAATGATTAGAGTTTTACAGTCTATCTTCTATATGTTTGCTACTGCTTTATAGTACGTAGTATTGCTTCACGTTGGTTGTTATATGATATTTGATGTTCTGTGATTGATATTACTTAGGTTTATTGAGATGACGAGTAGAGTCCTAAAGCCACACATCACTCACTTATAGGTTAGATTTATGTAAATTGTAAATTGAAAACACACATAGTCTATTGCTCAAGTAGGGGTAGTGATCTAGCATGTGAGTTCATATTGGTTGTAGACAAGTAATCTATCATTTTTTGGTTGTTATGCCCCATGCCAATCTCACTCCTAACAGTTGGCGCATATCAAAATAAGAGGAAAAACCACAAATCATTTTACATTACAATTCACAATTCATTAAGATCCAGAATATTCCAAAAAGTCATTAAATCCTTCAATCGTAAGTGGAAGCTATCCAGATAGGCGCATGCAGGGCACTACAACAACCTTAAAATGGCTAAATTTTGTACAATTTGCTATCATATGACCAAATCGATTCACAATAATCATACCTTCTAATTCTCAGATCAAATACACAACTATAGGCATCAATTCCCCTCGCACTACAAATATCCTAATCAATAATTGAACACTGTGAGATTTGAAATGTTACATGCACAAACTACCCATAGGCGCAAATTAAACTTCTTACCTTTTTATCTTATCATCCTTTATTTTCTTCATGCCTTCCCTGCTTTTCTTCTTTTCTATTCCAACTCCCTAAATTCACCCCTACAAAATTGCCAACTCTTCCTAACTCTTAAATTCACCCCACGACAAACTTCACCCCTACTCACACATCCCACTCTGCCCCCTCCCTACTCCAACATGCTAGTCTAATCCCACTAGCTAGCACCCAAACATGGCCAACACCACACACAACCCATCCTAACTGATAATTCGAGCCCCCCTACTCTAGCACCTTCCCGACCACCTCGTTAGCTCTAGTAGTCCCGATTCCATACAGCCCGTGAGAGACGTAAAACAGATAGTTCGGTTTGAGGATAAGTGAATGAAGTAAATTCACTCAAGGCAAAGCAATTTCTCTTAAGTAGCCTCCTCCAAACCAAAGCATGCAAGCCACCAGTTAACTCCATTGCCTCATTTGCAGTAATTTTTTTAATTAGTGCCGTAATGGATTTTATAACTTGTGAAAAAAATGCAAATGATATTTAATTCCGTATCTTCCAATCCTTTGTAATTTGACATATAATTTTATATGTCAAATTGCTCCATCAGGTAAGCTGAACACAATGACATTAAAATTGTTGAATTTCGTGAAAGTTGGGATTTTAGGATATCTTTGAATTGAACTAAAAGCGGCACATGCCTGGTCAAATTTGGGTTTTACACTGGTCTTGTTGATGCCCACAATATATTATGGCCTTGTGTGTCTACATATAGTCTAAGATCTACTTTAGGATCGTTAACCTAGACATAGACTTCGTATATGAGCCACTTCTTCATCTAGATAGCCCTAGGATGTTGCTATTTTCTCTCCATTTTTTAATGACGGAACCTTAACTTTCACTTGAGACTAGATGGATTAGATGACATTTCATTTTTACTTACTTCTGTTCCAATAACAACATAAACTTGAAGTTTGCCTCCATAACCATCCCCAGATCAACAGTCAGGCGGAAGCCATGAATGAAGTTATCCTTATCCTATCCAATTGAAGAGTCATTAAATGCTGAGGCAATTGGTTGGATGGGGTGGCATCCATCCTATGTGCCTACAAAACTAATGACCGACCACAACTTGGGAAACCCCTTTTCTCTTGCATTCCGGTGTGAAGCAATAATACCATCAAAGCCTATCATCCAACAGCGAGAGCTCAAGATACTTTATCCCTTCTACTAGAGCAGGTACTAACATCCAGAATTAATCCAAGTGTCTTGCTTGAATCTAGTAGCACCCATCAGTTTATTTTCGTGGTTGCAAAGTTTCAAGGACTTAAATGTTTAAGGATTTATGATTGGGCCATTGTTGCGCCTCACTGGAAAAAATTCTTTATCTGCAATTTTACTAATTAAATATTTTATGATGCTTAGGTGGATGAGTGGCTTTACCCTTAGAGATAGGATACGAAATGAGCATATACGTGAAAAGGTTGGAGTAGCTCCAGTAGAAGATAAGATTAGAGAGAGTCGCCTTAGATGGTTTGGTCACATAAAACTGCGGCCTTTTATGACCTGGTTAGGAGAGTAGAGGTATTAGATTTGACTTATGTTAAGAAAGGTAGGGGTAGACCTAAAAAGACTTGGTTAGAAAATATTACGAATGACCTTTCTTTATTAGATTTAAACGAGAATTTGACTTTTAATAGGACACAATGAAGAAAAAGGATTCATGTAGCCGACCCCACGTAGTGGGATAAAGGCTTGATGTTGATGTTGTTGCTGTATGAAACTATGGTTGCTGTTCTTGGTTCCTCAGTTTAGTGCAGCTTAGGATACCAAATCATGCCAACCTAATTGTGAATGTAGCGCATATAAGCTGTATGACATTGCATGATTTGGAGTTTTATCATTTGAGATGTGTCTAACACCTATTTGAATTCACATCACTCTTTTGCTACAGTTTTAATATGCTCGTGATGGAATGGTCGCAATCAACTGACAAATAGATTGATGAGTTCCTCAAAGTTTTATTTGCTTGACTTTCCGTTGGTACTAACATATCAGCTTAAATTTCTTTGTCCAATGGGTTACGGGCCTAGAGATGCTGTTAGATCCTAATATCAAACTGGCAACATAGTCTCACTGCTCTAATACACTTTGCACAAAGTATGCAGGCTTATAGTTAATTGGCAATGCCAGGCCAAAGGGGTTTGCCCTCAAGGGGATATGCTAACAACAGAATGTATTGTGGACCGCAATAAATGACATTAAACCTTTACCTCCTACCTTCTAGGGATTACTAGCTTCAGCACATTTGTTTTGGGTTATCCGAAGTATTTTTAACTATTTGAACAATTTGACTCTTTACTTATGACTTTTAGTTCATTTATGCCGTGAATTTGCTCAAAGATTATCCACTTGAATGCAAAGTTGATGATGTTTGATTTTCAGCATTCTATCAGACTCTAACTAGCGTTATTGTTTGTTCCATGAGAACCAGTTCTGCTTTTAGTTGGCATTGTAAAATTTTTTTGTTTGATCGTGCGCATGTATGGCATTTTCATCAACATTTTAGTGGATATCGGTTTTTTTGCTACTCTGGATACATGGTTACTGACCATGTCTATAGGTTTGCGTTACTATCTTAATCTATTCATGTTTGGCGTGGCATTTGGATGGTGGTAATCCTTACGTTATCTTCTTTTTAGTTGTGTGGATTCGGTTACTGTGATCATGAATGCTTTAGTTTCTATTCAAGTATTATTGTTTGGTTATTTTTTTGAAACCAAGCTATGTTATAAAATTATCTCTGTTTTGGGTTTTTTTTTCTAGAGCTATCATCTGATGTTGTGGAACCATTGGTGGGGTTAGTTTTTCAAACATTGTTAATATATGATGACCGGCCATCAAGGAAGGCTGTGGATGATTTGATTATTAAAGCTTTGAGTAGTGAAGCCTTCATGAAGTGCTTTGCTGCTGTCCTTGTTCAATCTATGGAAAAGCATTTGAAGAGCGATTGTTCAATAGGATGTTTAAAACTATTGAAGTGGTCATGCCTTCTCGTGAGATGGAGCCAGTTCACATCTTTGTCTAAGGGTGGCTTTTTGAGACTTACTACTGCACAAGCATTCTTATGTCAAATTCTTATGCATGGAGCCCACCGAAGACGCCGGGCTTGTAGGAAATTGTTTTTCCATATTTTTTCTGAGGTAGGTTTTATTGATAAAGCCCTGAATTTGATGTTTTATGTAAATCTTGTAGTCTTACTCAATTTAGACTCACATTGATGTTTTATACATGCTCTTTACAGGCTCCATATATATATGAGATGTACATGGAGGAGCTGAATGGCTCAAGAATCTCCCCAAAGGATAGCTCTGATCTTATAAGAATTTTGCTTGAATTTTCAATCGGCAACTCATTTTTTGAGAAATACAAGGTAGAATTTGTCATGCTCACTTTCTTTTTTCTTTGTTTAGCTTAAGTTGTTTATTTCCTTTATTTTCCTGAAAATTAAGTTTCTCTCGTGCTTACTGTTTTTCATATGTGCACATATGATATTCTTATTTACATTGTCTTCTCATGTTTTGCCCTCATTCAGCCGAATTTTCTCGAGCTATATGTGAAAGCTGTTTTGAATGCAAAGGACAAGCCATCTCACGCTCTTGCTGATGCTTTTCAACCTCTTTTCATGCATATAGAACATGAAGATTTTCATATCCTTGTTTTTCCATCATTAATCAAGATGTTGAAACGAAACCCAGAGATCATAATGGAATCGATTGGAGATCTTTTACTCCATGTCAATTTGGATATGAGCAAGTATGTGATTGAATTCCTTTCAGTGGTGCTGCCACAAGTTCGGCATGCTGATGATGAAAGGAGGACCAAAGCTTTGGCTATTGTAGCCTGTTTGAGTCAAATGTCCAGTGATCCAGATGTCCTACCCTCCATCTTCAATGCTGTTAAATCAATCATTGAAGGTCCACTTTTGGTGCATTATTTATGAACATTTAATGCCTGCTTGATATGAAGTTTTATTCATTTTGGTTATTTTGATAAAATTTCAAACATTTGTTACCGGACACATGATTTCGAACTTACTAGTCTAGATCGAACAGGTTCTGAGGGAAAACTAGCACTGCCTCATCAGAGAATTGGAATGATAAATGCTTTGGAAGAACTGTCAAAGGCACCTAGTGGGAAAACACTCAATAAGCTTGCTCCTATTGTCTCAGCTTTTCTTTTGTCTTGTTACAAGGGGGATGGTGAAGCGTTATATTCTTTTTCTCTACAGCTTTTATTTTTTATCCTTTCTGCTACTTTAATTTTGAAATACTTTTTTGGTTTCAAAACTTCTGAGAATTCTCCATTGTAGGGAGTGATGAGGTGAAGCTTGCAATCTTGTCTGCTTTGGGTTCCTGGGCTTCAAGATCTGCTGACACCGTCCAGCCAAATGTTATCTCTTTTCTCACTGCCGGCATAAAGGAGAAGGAAATTCTGAGGAAGGGGCATCTTAAATGTTTGCGAATTATATGCAAGAATTCTGACTCCTTAACAAAGGTGTGGGAATTTCTTATGTCACCTTAACAAGTACCTTTGATCCAAAACCATCGCTTACAAGATGTTAATTGTTCTTATGCATGGCATGCAATATGTAACTTTTTCAGGTTGTTCCATTGTTGGAGTCACTTGTCCAGATAGTTAAGATTGGCTTCACAAAAGCATCTCAGAGATTGGATGGAATTTATGCACTTTTTTCTGTTGCAAAAATCGCTTTTATAGATACCAAAGCAGGTGCTCTTTTACTATCCTCTCCATTTGTTGGAGTTAATGTTTTTATCTGTAATTTGCATTAATCTGGACACTCATAACAAGAAAAATAAATTATTAGAGGAGATTGTGCTCAAGGAGAAGCTTTGGCAATTTCTTGCTCAAAATGAGTCGGCATTAATTCCTTTCCCACAGGTATGCCTCTTTTGATTTTGCCAGTTAATGGCTGTTTGCTAATAAATAAAAGGGAATGAATTGCAAAGCCCCTATTATGCAATTTTGATTAGTGCAATTTAAGCTTTTGTTTTTTATTTGTCAAAATATGATAAATAAAGATTCTGCAAACTATTAGGTTTCTTAAAATATGGCATGAATTTTCGGTGCACAAATCCTTCAAGGAGTGCCTTATGAAGTATCATCTGGTCCTTTTTTGCATTAAAATTCATTTACTGTAATAAAGAAAGATTGTCTACTAATTAGTGTGATATTTTTGGTTGTAAAAATTCTAAATAACGTTTCAATTTTTTGGGTCGCAAAATGATGCATGCAAAAATTTGGAAAAATCCCAACTTTTTGCAAGCAAAAACAAAAGCTTCATAGGAAATATAAATGACACAAAATTCCCAAAAAATTAGACAAAATACGACTTATACGACAAACAACAAACTTTAATATTATAAAAGACTCTTACAAAAACGACGCTTACAAACTTTTAAATAAAAGCTCCTAAAGTTGCATTTCCTTGCTTGAGAAGAAGGATACATTGGCGTTGAACTTACGGAGACAAGGAAGAGGTAAAAAGTCTAAGACGAAGAGTGGAGAAGCTCGCAAGCCTTCCCAAGAAGTATAAGAAGAAGAAGTGGAACAAGCTCTCAACTTGTTCCAAAAAATCCTCAGGTTTTTATGTCCAAAAATAAGGCATATATCATCCTTTTATTTGCCAAAACATCACATATATATAGGATAAAGGGGCAGCTAAACAGCCACCCAAAACCTTCCTTTAAACCAATTAAAAAGCCTGCATTAAATTTAGAACAACAGCTGAAAAGGCATAATAGGAACCGGATAACAGCAACCACGGGAAGGAACAGGGAACAACCACGAGAAATAGCAACCAGGGAGGAAATCGAAGGGGCTGCACAGGAACCGGACCAACAACCAAGCAGGGAACTGGAACATACAATAAATGTGGGAGGAATCAGCCATGAGAAGGAGAGCTAGGTGGGGGAACTAAAGTGATAGCAAATGGGGGGAATGAACCTCAATTTATGAGCTAAAAAAGGCTCTCTACTAGACATTAATGAGCTGATTCTAGTAGAGGACTTAGAAGCTTTCCAAATTTATAATTCAAAATGTTTTGACCCCCCTCCCATGCCTACATCAATTCTCCTCCAGTTGAAAAATTTCATCTCCTGATGAGATCGAATTCAATAAATTCCTTTAGGAGTTAAATGAAGCAATTCGGATGGTAGATCTTCCACATGAATCAGAACTTCGGCTTGCTGACGGATTTTACTTTCTTTTCCATTTTTTTTTAATTTTAAATGAAAGGAAGAAACAAACAACCTAGGAAAATTCTAACTTAGGCTCTGATACCAAATTGATGCATACAAAAATTTGGAAAAACCCCAAATTTTTGCAAGCAAAAATAAAAGTTTTCTAGGAAATAGAAATGACACAAAATTCCCAAAAAACTAGACAAAATACGGCTTATACTACAAACAATAAACTTTAATATTATAAAAGACTCTTACAAAAATGACACTTACAAACTTTTAAATAAAAGCTCATAAAGTTGCATTTCTTTGCTTGAGAAAAAGGATACAATGGCATCGAACTTGCTGAGAGAAGAAAGAGGTAAGAATGTCCAAGGCGAAGAGTATCTTTAATTCATTTCACTTCATATCTTATGCTTTTTTATATTTTATATTATTCACTAATTAGTATATAAAAATTTATCATTTTATGTTTACGCAATCTTTTGATTTTGAGGCTTACGCCTCAAAACGCCTTAAGGCTTACGCCTCCCCCCACGAATGAAAAATGCCTCAATACCCGAATACGCAATTTTAAACATTAGTTTCGGGTTTGACCCGAACCCGACCCGTGACCCGAAATTGACACCCCTACTCTGAAGAGGGGAACAGATTGTTGTACCAGTGTAGGTTTGTGATGCTTAGGACCTCAGTTTATATCCCACAGTTGTCGCAAGAGTTCCACGGGAGCGCTATTTGAGGTCACTCTAGTATATGGAAGACATACAAGATACTAGCAACGAAGCTGTATTCCAAGGGGATGCACAAGGAGGTGGAAGAGACGGTGTCTAGATGAGAGGTGTGCCAGCAGAACAAGTACCTTGCCATGGCTCCTGTGGGGTTACTTCAACCCCTAGCTCTACCTAACAGGGTGTGGGAGGAGGTCACCATAGACTTTATTGATTGGGTTTCCTCGATCAGAAGGGTTTACTGTGATTCTGGTGGTAGTTGATAGATTAAGCTAGTACGCTCACTTCATCCCCTTATGACATCTTTACATGACAGTGATAATAGCAGCCGCATTCATCAGGGAGGTGTTTATGCTACATGGGATACCAACGTCTATAATATCTCACAGAGATAAGGCGTTCCTCAGTCTTTTTGGAGGGAACTGTTCAGGTTACAGAAGACTGTGTTGAAGAGGAGCACTGCTTACGACCCCTAGATAGACGGGCAGAAAGTAGTGAATAGGAGCTTAGAGAGATGCCTACGGTGTTTTGCTTCAGAAACACCTAGGGTATGGACCAAGTGGTTGGCATTGGCATAATACTAGTGCAACACTTCGTACCACTCAGCCTCTCAGATGACTCCTTTCAAAGTGTTGTATGGGAGACAACCTCCACATTTGGTACATTTTGGCAGAGCCGCACACCTTTATCTTCATTAGCGCAGTACTCGGAGGAAAGGGATAGGTGCTGGAGGAGTTAAAAAGATACCTGCTAAGGCTAAACAATTTATGAAGAAGCAAGTGGATGTGCATAAGAAGGACATCCAGTTTGCCATTGGGGATAGGGTATTCTTAAAGCTCTGACCCTACAGACAGATGATAGTAGCCAACAGAAGGAATGAAAAAGCTAGCCCCGAGGTACTTTGGCCTTTATGAGATGTTGGAGAGGATTGGAGCAGTGGCCTATTGCTTGAAGTTACCCTCAACCGCTTCCATACACCCCATGTTCTATGTATCATTGATGTAGAATGGAGATTGTTGGGGGGGGGGGGGGGGGGGTTCAATTGAAAAACTTAAAATCTGAATTTAATATCAGATTTCAAAAGGGGGAAGTGGAGGGAAAATTTGAATTTCAAATCACCTTAATTGGAGAGGGATTAATTGGGATTTGATGAGGGATGGAGGCCAACAGTTAATAGGGGTGATTGGAGTTGATTGTGGGCCTTAATGGAGAGGAATTAATTAGGGAGGAGGTGAGAGAGGGGGGTAATAAAAATTAAAGTGCTAAAATTCAATCTCATATTTCCCTTAATTAATGGATTTGAATTTGAAATTCAAATACGAAAAGAAGGGAGGGAAGAGATGAATTAATTTTCTCCTTAATTAGGGCCTTAATTAGGAAGGAAATTATTAGGATAGTGGTGGTGTGGCCGTCGGCTTTGTGGGTGGTAGAAACTTAGGCCGGTGGCTAGGGAGGAAGAGGGAGAAGGAGAAATGTAGTTATAGGGAAAGAAATACAAGGAGAAACACAAGAAAGATAAAACCGTGAGCCCGGACGCTTCCTGCGGCTGACGGATGTTGCGATGCCCTTCACCAAGGGACTTCAAGCCACGAGCCCGGACCCATCATGCAGCTGGTGGAAATCACAATTCCTTCCTAGGGATTCCCATAACGTCCTCCCAAAGAACAAAAGTGCAGAACAATTTTTTTTTATTAAAACTCTATCATTCCATTACACAAGCAAGGGTCTTTTTGCATAGGCCTAAGACATTAAAACAAGACACATGCCCCTAGGACTTACATAGGACGACCCTCTTAAGTGAGGATAAAAACGAAAAATTCATAATAAAAATGAAAATTACAAATAAAATTTAAGATAAAGTGGGACAATGACGGCTGTCGATCTTCAGCTCTTCCTCGGATAGGCATGGACGGTTGGATGTCTGCATCAATCACACTTGAGGAGAGTTGTGGGGGATCATGCAGCTAGTTCAAAATTACCAAGGCCGCTGATAGAGGATCTAGATGTAATTTTGGAACCCCGGAGCTTCAAGGGATGAAAGGGAGAAGGAGAGCCCAAGGAAGTGCTGATTAAGTGGAAGAACTGACATGACCATGATGCCACATAGGAGTTGTATGAGATGGTAAAGCATTAGTTTTTCTCCTTCTACCTTGAGGAAAATGTGGTTCTTTGGGAGGGGAGTATTGATAGACCAGTCTTGGGGCCGGTCCTGGTCTACAAGGGGCGGAACAAGGAAGTTCAGCGCCCATCATTGATGACCCAATCCTATTGGGGTCCACAAGCTTAATTAGTGGGTTTTTTTTTTTTGGGGAGGGTTTTTTTTTTTTTGGGGGGGGGGGGGAGGGGGATGCAGGACTAGGTATGCTTTATATGAATGCGATAAGAAATTGCACTTTTTAGATAAGAGCAAATGATAATTTAAACCACTAGCCACTAAGCGACGATAGAAAATGAATGAGGGGTAATTACGCTTAGGCCAAATCACAAGCTAGGAACATGAACTACCCAATTAATTTAGAAATCCAACAAAATGCAAATCAAGTAGCTATTCAGTAAAATCCTAATCTAATGTTGAGATAAGCAACATAGAAGTAAACTCAAATCTTACGTTTACTAAGCAGAGGCAGAGAGCGAAGCACAAACCCTTGTGATTAAATCACCACCTACAAGGTTAGCTGATTAGGAAGATAAATGAATAGGGAAGAAGTTCACCCTTGTCGAGGTTTGGAAACAATTTGCCACTAAATGTTGGCAAGTTCTTCGACGGCTTCGGAAAGTATAAAGATGATGCGGTCCACGCATTCTTCGACGGAGTTGTCGGTTCCCGGGTTAAAGTCGAAGAAGGTGGAGTGGAGAATGTTGATGTTCCCTTGCTTGTTGTAAGCGATTCCGAAATCAAGTTAAGGATCGGCCATTCATTGGTTTTGAAGTGTTGAAGGGTTGGCAATGATCGTTGTTGCTTTCCTTGAAGACTCCTATTGAGAGGGAGGAGTTTATCTTGTAAGTTCCAGAGGGAGAGATGCGACCTGCCAAGGGTGGGGGTGAGGAGAAAGGATTAGGTTCAACTTTTAGGAGAAGAAGATGGAGGGAAAGTCAATCAATTACTTTCCTAATTAATACTTTTAATTTGGGAAAGGATGAGGGTGTACTTAGGAAGGGGTGGGTCGGCTAAGAGAGAGGGAGAGGAGGTTTGAATTATTTATAAGAGGGAAGCTAGACTTAAGGAAATAATTCCATGGGAAGTCCATGATGAGGCTAACGGCATAGGGGAGGGGATTGGGGGAATTAAGTATGGTTTAATGCTTTCCTCTTTGGGATTCTCTAATTAGGATATGAGAATTAATTTCCAAACTAAATCAAATTAGTTTTGAATTTGATTTTGGGAACTTCCCTAAAATAGAATCTTATTTTAGGAAATGTTTCAAATTCAAATTTAGAATGACTGAAATTATTAACTTCCCAAGAGAGAACGTATGCAAAAGGAAAGTAATAAGGAGGCTTTCCAATTTGGGAGCAAGAGGAGCAAGGGAGGCCGGCAGTTTGATGACCGGACTATGAGTGGGGGATGGGGAAAAGTGGGTCAGGTGGGGTGGGGCTTTGGGTGCTAGCTGGCAGGAAAAGGGTGGGGCTATTAGCGGTCGGGGAGGGGCTTTTGGGGAGGTGGTCGGTGGCTTGGAGTGTGGGAGGGCTGGTGGCTTGAAATGGGAGGTTGGACGGCGGGTTGGGCTGGAGAAAGGGAGGAAAGACGAGATAAGTAGAACTAGCCGCGAGCCCAGACTCTTCCAAGGTTGGCGGGTGATACGATTCCCTCTCCAACGGTTTTCTCTCTCAACTCTCTCAAGCTTTCGCAAGAACTCACAATGCAGAAAAATTTGATCAATCATTCATTAACCATCAAAAGAGAACATTATGGCCATATATAGCCTCAAACAAAGGACTCAAAATAAAAGACGGCGATGCCCTTTGGGCTTACACATGACCACCTTTAAGTAAGGGGTAAAAGGGGAAAACAACTAAAGCAAATACAAACATATAAATAAAAGACAAATACATAAGCCAACTTAAAAATACATCGGTGTGATCGTGGCCATAGATCGGCGGCCACGTCTCTGATAAACTTTCTAAGCTCCGATGTCCCCATAGAGGGGGGTGGGATTTAGGAGGGAAAATTCAAATAGAAGGATCTATTTTGGGATTCACATAATTATTGTATGCTTAAGTATGTTTTGGTGGCTAGGGTTAGTTTTTTATCTCTGGTTTTTGCTGAATTTTTCCGGTTCGTAGTTCTTGCGTGGGCTATAGTGGCGTCTAGAGATTTGGAGAGCCGGATCTTCCTTTCCAATAGAAGATTCATCGTATCTTGTTTATCTTCTTCCGTATTTCTTCAATCTAAAAGCTATTTAGTGATTTGCCATAATATTCTTCTATATTTTTGGTTCCATAGTGCTGAAATTTCAATTTATGCCGACAATTTCTGCACTTTACCTAACAATGTCACTTTAAGGGGATTTTTTGTATTCACTGCCCCAGTTATAGCACATTAATGGTATGGACAGTATTATTAAAAATTTAAGTTTGGAAATATTTATTTGAGATTAAATTAATTCATTTATGCTTATATACTTGAATTTTCTTTTATATAAATGATTGTGACAATCTATAGAATTTTATAGAAATATTTTTTTTATAAATTCCAAGATGTATGAAAACTGGGGTATATTGCATTTGGGATTTTTTACTTCTCAAATTTTTGGGATATTACATTGATATAGATAAATTTGTTAATTAGATTATAGCCTCGGTAGCAGTTGTTTGAGAAGTTCTAATATTCAATTTTTATATTTTTTGCTAATAGGTTGCTAAACTCTCTAATGAAGATTGTGTTACATGTATAGATGTTCTTGAAGTGTTGCTTGTGGAACATCAGTATAGGTATCTTGACAGTTTTGGTTGTATATGAGCATTTAAATTAATGTCTCATAATTCTTTTTTTGTTTGTACCTGACAATTGGCTTCGTTTGTAGGGTTTTTGATACTTAATGCAGAAGACTGATAAAATTTACTTTGTACGCAGATCGTTGGAATTTTTATCTGTCAAAGACTTTCTACAGGTTAATAACTCCTTTCTTTTTTTACTTTAAATTTCTTTGGACGAATAAATTTGAGTTTTACTTTTTTTATCCTGTGTATTCTCTTATGTGGCGCAGCTACTGCTTCATTTTATTTGTCATCCATGCTGGGATGTCCGCAAAGTTGCTTATGATGCCACAAGAAAGATTATTTCATCGTCAACGAAATTAGCAGGGGAGCTATTACTTCAATATAGAAATTGGTTTCCAGTAGTTAGTGATAGAATTTCAGCTATGAAGTTAAGGTAATTTATTTTTACTCTTCTGTGTTATCATTTTACTATAAAAGAATCAGATTTTTTTTTTCTTGCTATATCACCTTGAAAGACTGGGATTATTTGTTATCTTGCATTTTAATTACCGTGACCACAACTCTATGACTGGTTATCGCGCTGTAATCCATTTGTTTGCTCTCACAATTTTCTGACTAACACACTAACTATTTTGCTATATAGTGATACAGAAAGTCGACTAGATTCTCATATAGCAGTTGTTCCATCTGCCGAAGTGTTGGTGAAGTGCTTGCTACTGATTGCACCTGCAGTGATAGCTAGTTCTGGGACATATTCTATGCTTATTTTTTGTGCACATCATCCTTGCTTGGCTGGCACTGCTATAAGCGATACAGTTTGGAAGGTACTTGCTGATGAAATATCCTCTTGGCATGTAGAGCCCTATCATTTTTGGCTAAAATCTTCTGAGATGGATTTTTTATATTGCCAAAGTAGAAAGTCACGATTGCCTATTATTCCGCAACTAATGCTGCATCTCATCCAAATTATTGGAGTTTTAATCAATTAACTTTCTAAGATCTCATGGGATGCATTCGTAGATATTTCTGCTACATTTACGTTCTTGTGATTGTTAATACGTGCTTTGTAATGTTTGCCAATTTAAGTATCCTTTATCACTAGAATGATTATTTTAAACTTAAGCGTTTAGCTTTATTATCACTTTATAAAAAAGATCTCTTATGTGCATCCTGTTTGTGCTCCACAAACTTCTAAGCAAAACTGTAATGGGTAACGCATTGATTTTAACGTTAGCTTGTACTGGTCATACATTGTAGTTAAATCCATTATTGGATTATATTCAATTTGTAATAGGTTTTTGATATGCCGACTGGACCGGTCTGGCCTGGACCGGTCCAGACTTATTCCAGGCGGCCCAAGCTGGGTGGGATCCAGGGAAGGAAGGGGGAGGACGGCAGCCCTTGTGGGCCCAAGCTTTGATTGAAATAAACTTTAGGAGGGAATTTTTGAATTGAGGGGCTGCTTAGGGAATTCTAATTAATCCTTTTGCTTTAATTAGGGGTTTTGGGGGGGAAAGAGGGCATCTTGAATTTGAATGAAAAGTTTGAGACCAGAGCCCTGTATTAGGTACCCATACCCATACCCACCCATGAACCCACCCATACCCAATGGGCATGGGTGGGTATGGGTACACTCATGGTATCGTGGGTGGGTATGGGTGGGTACTCAACATCAAAGGACAACCGGTTTATATTACTAATTATCATATACATGCAGTATATTATAATAATCCTTACTACGCAATGTGCAACACTGAACTGCGTCATAACCATGATAAATTTTGACATGTGGCTTGAAAGTTTGCAGTCAGAGAAAATGGAAAAAAATCTCAAGGCCATTAATCTATGGCAGACTGCATTCAATAAGCGTGGAAAGTGGGTGGGTGTGGGTGGGTATGACATCAGGAAAGTCACCATAGGTGGGTGTGGGTGGGCAAAGCCCGCCAGCGTAGAGCGTGGGTACCCAATGGGTACCCAACCAGGACCCCATGTAGGGCTCTGTTTGAGACTCATTGTGTGTTTGGGCTCTAGGGTTTGCTAAAGACTTGTGGAGAGTTGTTCTTCCTCTCGAATCGAAGAACGTTGTATCTTTCTTTGTTTTCTTGCATCTACTAGTGGAAACCTTGTTTCTTTTCCTTATTTTTCTCTGTTTGGGTGCATTTCCTGCTGCGGAGTTGTTGTAAAACTGCTGGGTTGCTCACTGTTTTGGGCTGATTTTGACTAGGATTGCTTGCGAACTCAAGTATTACCTTAGGGTTACTTGCGAACTCAAGTATTTCCTATCAGTTTTTTCTAAGTTTCTTTCTTTCATATTCTATAATTTTTATCATGAAGAAATTGTAGTGCTTGGTTTTGGTCATTAGGATGTTCTTTTTTTTTTCTGGTGCTTCATTTAACAGTTTAATTAGTGTAATACTGGAAGATTAAATTATCTCAGAATTCCTAATTGGATAATTAGTTGTTATTTATCCTCGTAGCTCCTTCAGAGATCGATGTGTTCTTGTTTTCAGTGTAGACTTGATTTAATCTTAATAACAAGGATATTTAGTCATGTATGCCAACTGCATGTGGAGTTGGTTTGGAGTGTGAAATAGTTACCTTCAAAATTTATTGAAGACATTTTCTTATGGGCTATGGAAGGACTAAACTTTTTTGAGATTTGGAAGAATGCTTGGTTTGGAGTGCTGGCACAATGCAGCTTACAAAACGAACCATTCTAACATAATTATTTTAATTTTGTGTTTAGAATTGAGAATAAGATTTTAGATCTTAAGATTTTGTTTGTGCATGAGGATGCTAATGTTATGTGGGAAAAAGTGGCTACTGATATTAAGAATATTGCAAAAGATGTCCTTGGAGTATCAAAGGGAAAAGCTCCTAATAATAAGAATAGTTGGCGGTGGAATCCAAATGTGCAAGAAAAAAATTAAAAATAAGAAGTTTTGTTATAAAAATTGGTTTAATTTTAAAAATTATGATAATTGAGAAATATATAAAGTGGCTCGTAAGGATGCTAAGAAAGCAATATTCGATGCAAAGACATTAGCTTTTAATGATTTATATAATAGATTAGATACTAAGGAGGGAGAAAGATATATGTATAAGTTAGTCAAACAAAGAGATAGTAGTAGTAAGGATTTAGTTCAAGTGAAGTGTAATAATGATGAAGATCAAAAAATACTTTTCTTAGAAAATGATATTCAACAAAGGTGGATGAGATATTTTGCTAAACTTTTTAATGAAGATTGTGAAAATAAGATTGACTATAGTGACCTTAGCACCCTAAATGAAAATAAAGATTTATGTTTTTATCGGCGTATTAGTAAAACTGAAGTTAGAGAGACTTTAAATAAAATGAAGGGTGGAAAAGCTGTTGGACCTGATGATATTCCAATAGAGGTGTGGAAATGCTTAGGAGATGAAGGAATTTCATGGCTTACTAAACTTTTTAATACTATTTTGAAGACTAAAAAAAAGCCAGATGAGTGGAGAATGAGTGTGTTAATTCATATTTTTAAGAATAAAGGTGATGCACAGGATTGCACGAATTATAGAGGTATTAAGTTAATGTGTCATACTTTAAAACTATGGGAGCGAGTTTTGGAGCATAGGTTGCGGCGTGATACTAATGTTTCTCAAAATCAATTTGGATTCATGCCGGGTAGGTCGACTATGGAAGCCATACATTTATTAAGAGGTTTGATGGAGAAATATAGAGAAAATAAGGAGGATCTACATATGATATTTATTGATTTAGAAAAAGCATATGATAAAGTTCCAAGAGAAGTGCTATGGAGAGTTCTTGAAAAGAAAGGAGTCAATAATGCTTATATTCAAATCATTAAAGATATGTATGCAGGAGCTATTACTTGTGTTCAAACACAAGGTGGATTGACCAAGTATTTCCCTATTTCGGTTGGGTTACATCAAGGATCAGCCTTAAGCCCATATCTATTTGCTTTAGTCATGGATGTTCTCACTAGACATTTGCAAGATGATGTACCTTGGTGTATGCTTTTTGCTGATGATATTCTTCTTGTTGATAAGACTAGAGAGGGAGTTGAAGGTAAACTTGAATTATGGAGGTCAACCTTAGAGTTTAAAGGTTTTCGCTTGAGTAGATCTAAAACGGAATATATAGAGTGTAATTTTAGTAGTAATAGACCTAGTTAGGGGATTATGACTTTGGGTGATCAAGTCATTCATAAGAGTACACATTTTAGATATCTTAGATCTATTGTTCAGAGTGATGGTGAAATAGATGGGGATATTATCAGCAGAATTCAAGTTGGATGGTTGAAGTGGAGGAATGCATCAGGCTTGTTATGTGATAGAAATGTACCCCTCAAACTTAATGGAAAATTCTATAAGATGGTAGTGAGGCCTGCAATGCTTTATGGTGCCGAATGTTGGCCATTAAAAGAGAAGCATAATACTAAGTTAAGTTTGGCAGAGATGAGAATGCTCAGGTGGATGAGTGGCTTTACCCTTAGAGATAGGATACGAAATGATTATATACGTGAAAAGGTTGGAGTTGCTCCAGTAGAAGATAATATTAGAGAGAGTCGCCTTAGATGATTTGGTCACATAAAACGGCGGCCTTCCGATGACCCGATTAGGAGAGTAGAGGTATTAGATTTGACTTATGTTAAGAAAGGTAGGGGTAGACCTAAAAAGACTTGGTTAGAAAATATTAGAAATGACCTTTCTTTATTAGATTTAAACGAGAATTTGACTTTTAATAGGACAATGGAGAAAAAGGATTCATGTAGCCGACCCCACGTAGTGCGATAAAGGCTTGTTGTTGTTGTTATTGTTTAGAATTGAGCAGTAAGAGTTATATTGTTCCATCAATTTTTATAATTAGGTTACTCTTATTTAAACTCTTAAATGTCAGCTTATAACACAAGTTTGATCAGATAAATTTTGAAAAATAGCCAATAATAAAATAATTGATTATTCAATTTATGCAACCCTTGTAGACATTTATAAACGTTGGATCCAGGTGGCTCACCACTGCTAGTTGGCTTTTTCGTTATTTCAACTTGTAAAGTCCATGAGCTGAGCAAGGAGGTAACACCTAAAGAGGCCACTTATACCAAATGCACGCTTTGTAGAACTTGGGTAGATTTAGCTACCCTAGATGTGGTCATAAAGTTATTTTAAAATGTCATGGTTGTAAAATCTTCATGTAACCACAATTAGCTGCACACTCATAAAATCCCATTCCTCCTTTATTCTTCTTATTTGAAATTCAAAATTTTTTATATCTCCCCCACGTTCTACATGATATTTGGTATCAGAGCTAGGTTACCCGGGGTGCAGACTCGATGTAGTCGAGCTCTTTTCCACCCCGGGAGAATGATGCGGACATCCAACCGTCCATGCCTATCCGAGGAGTTGAAGATCGACGGCCGTGATCATCCCATGTTATCTTAAAATTTATTTATAATTTTTATTTAATTATGCATTTTACATTTTTACCACCCTTACTTAAGGTTCTAGTCTTATGTAAGCCCTAGGGGCATGTTCGTCTTATTTAGTCTTTTTTTTTATATAAGATTTTTGAGGCCTATATATAGAGGTCCTTGCTATTGTATTAGGATGATGGTGTTTTAATAAAAAATTTGCTCCGCACTTTTGTTCTTTGGGAGGACGTTAGTGAGAATCCCTATGGAGGGAATCGTAGTTTCCACCAACCGCAGGATGGGTCCGTGCTAGTGGCTTGAAGTCCCTTGGTGAAGGTCAACACATCACCTGTCAGTCTTCGGAAGAGTCCAAGGGTCATGATTTTATATTTTTTCTTTGTTTTTGTCTCACCTTA